TAGGAAACGGAAGCCTAAACCGAACTTTAGGGTTCGGGGTATCGGGGTGTGATGAGGGTATTAGGAACCCGAAACCCTAAGCCTTTGGGGTATTGGGCTGTGGGGGTTTAGGCTTTCCTGCACCCTACTGTCGCAGGGCAACATAGAACCCGCAAGCCGGAAACCTCTGAGCGAAACTGCTTCTAGCGAGGGAACCCCCGCCCTCCCACACTGCCCCGACGCAGGGTAGGCTTCACAAGCTTGAACAGACATGCGGTCCTTGATAGTGGGCATTTCCTTCACTATCTCTGACTGGATTTGGGGCTTGCAGGGTTTACGTAGGGTTCAGGGTCGTGGATCCTAATCAGAAAAAGGGAACTTCAACTGAGAGTCTGGATGCTGGACGATGTTGGCATTGTGCAGCCTCAAATCAAGACACCATGAATTTGAGATTCGGGACTCGAAGCCGAAGCTTTGCAACACTCTTTCTTACTTACCCAGAGATTTCAATAGCCTGGAGCTGAGGCACATTCCAAACATAGTTCTTTATATCATGGGAGGAACCTTCTACAACATGTACGTTTCATAGTGTTCCTGGAAGGGCACGCGATGGCGCTACGACTTTGCCGCATGGCGAAGATGTGCTCGGGCGGTGTCATGACAGAGACACGCCTGCACGTTCTACTTCTTAGTCCCCACCTGAGACCGCCAATCAGCCAGCTTTACTTGCGTGAAGCCACTGGCTTTTATGCTAGCCGAGTTCACTATTTCAAGGGAAAGAACTGGCAACTACGCAGCTTGAAGGACGGACATGGCTGCTTCTTCATCGTGCCGGTCAGCGTCAATACGGGGGGCAGCGCTTACAATCGCCCCATCATTAGCGACATCCTCCTCAAGCACTTCATCCCGAAGTTTGACCGAGCCATTTGGGGTGAGAAGAGCACCAAGGGCAAAGTTCACCTCCCAACCCCTTTAGGAGACAATTTTAACCTTGGAGCGCAAGGATGGAATGATGCAGGGGAGAAGGACCGCTGTTTGCATGTTTTTCAAGGCATATGGCTGGAATTTCCGAACTTGCATTTGGTCATTGCAATTTGTCTTGCCCTGCAGGAGCTGGACAACATGGCAAAGGAGGAAGCCATTATGTACAACTTGATCGGGCACGAGTTGGCAGATGTGATTGTGGCGTGCAATGCGTTGGCTAGAAATCTGCAGGCTATGAGGGAACGCAAGAAGCGCGAAGACTTTCTACATGAATACTACAATGAAACGGTGGAGGCGACAGCAAGGGGCTTCAAGCATGTGGGCGCAACGGCGGATGGCATCAAACGTGAAGTGGAAAGCATGATGCTTGACCCGATGACAGATTGGGGAAAGAGTTCCTTGCCGGTGCCGGCGCACTTGTGGAAATTCCCAGCCAAATAGCAACGAGATGGCTCAGTGAGGTTCCAGCCCCAGCAGCCTCTCGTGTGCGACACTTCAAGAACTGCGAGGGTTTGTCCCGGGTTGCTTTCATGGATGGCAACGGTGTCATGATGCTTGGAAAGGTGGTGAGCTGCGAGCGAAAGGGCGAGGACGACAAGGCTGGCAAGAAGAAGTAGATGTTCGGACAAAAGTCTGTCTCACCTCCATCCCCTGGGCAGCACATGCCTCGATCCGCAGCTTCGAAAATCTGCAGGCTTGATTTAGGCGTTTAGCCCTGTTTATGGGGCTGGGTCAGGCTTGTCCATGCAGAGCTGCTTCTTGTGTCAACATTAGAGTCAACATGCGACGCACGATGTACGTGTGTTCTGGACGTCTGCCAATCATGCGGAACAGTGCAGCGTGGGAGAATGGAAGCTTTCCAGTTCAAGCTGGG